CTTGCAGCCCCAAAGACTGGACCCCTTCTGCATATTACTCCAGGATACAAGCTGGTGCTTTCCAGATGACCGACATCTGAATACAGAAGCTGGAGCCATTTACTACGCCATCACCTGACATCTGGTTAAGTGTGCATAATGCATAATCTTGGATTCCACATGAACCCGTGACAAAAGCCTCTGCATTTTTACGACCCTGACAGTTGACACCTATGTCGCTGGCTTTCAAGAGCCCTGGCTTATAGGTACCAAAATGGCCACTCTGCTCAAGGTCTTTCCTTTCTGGCCACACCCTCCAGGCTCAGAGCCACCCTCCAGGGTGTTTCAGTCCAGCTCACAGGCTCTTATCCCTCACCAATCGCCTCTTACAAGTTTCCTCTCTTCTTCATGCTTAATATTCTATTTCTCACTCTCAGAACTTGCCAGCCTTCTCCAGCTAGATTGTAATTGCCTGAGCAAGGACTTAATTTGCTTTCTCTCATACACCTGGATGGGTGATAAATGTTTATAGATCAAATATATTGGTTCAATACTTTCTGGGCTGAAATTCATTAAAACGTTTTCACATTTTAAAAATATTTGATTTTATTTTATGCCACATCTTACTGCCTTTTAAAGCTGATTCTGTGTCACGGATGAATTCAGCTATAGATTTATCTCCCTAAATAACGCAATGAAAACATTTTTACTTCTAGAAAAATCCCTTAAAAACCTAATAGCTAATGTTTATTGATTTCTCTCTGTGCTCCAAATGCTTCTGGCTTACCGTATTCAAACTTTGCTACTAGGCTTCAGGATGTGTCCTGTTTTCCAGCTCATCTTGCAGGTGAAGGAAGACGAGAGGCAGATGATTTGAGCTCTGTAGTGTTAAACAGTTAATGCACTCTGGAGTGGCAAGTGTGCACTTCTCGCCATCCGCCAGAGTTCTCTGGATTTTCAAATGAAAAGACGTATGCACACGCGCACGCGCGCGCGCACACACACACACACAAGTGTGTGCAAACTTTATATTGAGATATACCTTAACTAGCTCAATGGTTGGGCACTTCCAACCCTCCACGTGGCTAATACACTCTACCGTCCGGTATTCAAGAATTAACACTTTCTAAATCTGTATCTTACCTTTGCTGCCCTGTTTCTTTCCGGTGAGACCTCCCTCAAAGTCCCGCCTCTTGCATCCTGCCTAGCCATTGGCCATTGGCTTTTTACTGAGCCATCAAAAAAACAACTGTTAGCGGGGGACCTGTAGCAGATGCGCAAATTCCCATGTAAGCAAAAATCAAACCCCCAACAGAGCTTCTCACCTGAGGTCGCATGGGAGGCAGCAGTTAAGCTAAGTTGGAGCCTATAATGATTCTTAATCATTAGGCTTGCAGTTTCCTTAATTTGCCTATATAATTAGCTTGTTCCACTGACTCTGATAAACCAGAATAAGAGACAAAAAGCTGAGGGATGTGAAGACTAATTACAGGATGCCTGGAAGTTATTTGATTCCATGAGAAAACAATTGCATAGGTTCAAAAAGCCACTCTGGTTTTGGAGTATGATATATTTCTTCCCCATCATTATCTATCTACATAGGTGTATGAAGATTCACAAGATCTCCTGTTATCTATCATGGATGCCTAAGCAATCCAACAGTACTCTTCTATTTCAACTGCTGTATGAGTCACTCTTCTAGGCCCGGAAGGAAGTACTTAGAGGATATAGGTGTTTGTTCTGGCTTAGTCTGGAAGGATGAATCCATCATAGCGGGAAAAGAGGACAAAGTGGCTGGTCACATCACAGCTGCAGCCAGGAAGCCAGTAGTAAAGGGGAAGTTAAGACAAGCTATAAACTCTGGGGCACATGGATTGTGCCACCAGACAAAAGCACAGGTAAGGCTGATGAGCTTGGTCCAGGGAGTGACACTATGAGGAGGTGTGGCCTTGTTGGAGAAAGTATGTCACTGTAGGAATAGGCTTTGAGACTCTCCTTGTAGCTACCTGGAAGCCAGTCTTCTGTTTGCCTTTGGAATAAGATATAGAACTCTGAGCTCCTCCAGCACCGTTCCTGACTGGATGCTGCCATGATTCCCACCATGATGATAATGAACTGAACCTCAGAACCAATAAGCCACCCCCCAATTAAATGTTGTCCTTTATAATAGTTGCCTTGATCATGGTGTCTCTCTACAGCAATGGAAACCCTGAGAGAGACTCCTTGCGTGTGGCTGCCCTGGGAGACTCGGCTCTTTTCTCTGTCCTTCATTTCTCCAGAAATCCTGCCGTTCTTTGTTGCAGATGCCAGAACTCAATTGCTTCTTTGAGAACTAGACATCTGAGTGTCCCCTGCATAAAAACAGAAGGTGCATGTCCAAAAAACAAAACGTCTGCTTAATTCTCTCTCTTTTAGCTGTCTCTTGTTACAGTGATCTGTTTAGACTAAATATTCGTGGGCTGTGAGACCATGTCTCCTAGTAACATCAGAAGCAACATAAAGTCTCACCGACATGAATGCCCAAAAATAAGGTGCATACAGACGACACCAGTGGACATGACAAACTAGTTGGGGAAAAGCGCACAAGGTCTCCACTCTAGACAAAGGTCTATGGGCAGCTAGGAAAGCTGTGAATGGGAGAGGTGTTCCCACCCAGGAAAGAGCACAGCAATTGCGTGGCACCATCAGTGCCACATGGTCAGCCCTGAAAAAATACCCACAAATAACACCATACAGACTGAACAGATTACATATGGGTATACATATGTGTGTGAAGATATATATATATATGTCTATACAAATACATATATACATGCAGTTAACAGCTAGTAAAAAAAATAAGTCATAAATTTGAAGAGAGAATAGAGAAAGATATGTGGGATGGTTTGAAGTGAGGAAATGTAAGGAGCAATGTTATATTTAAATTATAATCTCATAAAGTAAAAACTAATGAAATAAATTTTAATTAAGGAAAAAAAATTCCCTGTTAGGGAATCCTTTTAGGAGTCAGACTGTTGGTGCATTCAAAAGCCATTTGTGTTTCTTCATGAGGAAGTACATCAGGAAGGGCTGGGAGATGCTCAAGACTATCGGGTTTACGGGGCTAGTCATAATGCTTGCAATTGTAACTCCAGCTACCTGGAGGCTGATGCAGGAGGATGGAAACTCAAGGCCATTCTGGGTTACAAGGCCTTGGCCTTCTGATTTCAAGGCCAGCATGGTCAACTTAGTGAAAGTCTGTCTCAATATAATATAATATAATATAATATAATATAATATAATATAATATAATATAATATAATATAATATA